GTTTTCATACTATTCAAGATCATTTGCTGACTTTGGTAAAATACAGTCCTTAAACCTCACCTGATTAATATTCAAATTTACACACAGATATTATACTCTCTAACACTGAAAAGAACTCAAATCAACCATAACAGTTGTTTCTGGTTGACTGAATGAATTCATAGCATGTCTGACAAGTGACACCATCATCAATCAATGTGAAACTCAATATTCTACAAGTTTAAATAACTGACTGTGCTTACCCCAATAACAAATCGAGCAATCGATTTATTTTTTGCTTGCTCTACTGCACCTTCCAGGTTCTCACGGTCATTAGATGCTCCATCAGTAATTACAATCAAGACCTTCTTCACATTTGGTCTGGAGCCTTTCTGTGGGCTGAAAACTTTTTCCCTATCAAATAAAAAAAAAAGAATAAAATGTAATTTCAACACAAAGTATTTTTAAAAGTGCACCTTGTGGTCATACATATTTCAGTGTCATTCATTTTTTTCATAATTTTTCCAAAATACAGATATTTTTGTACTTTGCAGATGCAGCATTAGATCTGCAAGTATTTCAAATTGGCCTTGGTTTGTGCCATCTTGTCCACTTTGTAGAACATAATACTGAACATGCACGGTATTACTGTGGTCAGATTCACTGAAAAATGCAATGCTTCAGTAATATCTTTGCATTACTTACACAACTTCTTTGATGGCCTTAGCCGTGAAAGTCGGTCCCACATGTTGCTGAATTTTATTCATTTCATCCTCCATTTCAGGTAAGTTAAATTTTTTAAAGTTAAAATGAACCTCTGGGGCACTGGAGAACTGGGAAACAGAAAACTGAAAGAAAGAAAAAATATGTGAAACATGTTTTAGATTATATTTTATGGTGTTAAATGCAGACAAAGATGTAATCTATGTCGTGATTTGCTGTTATTTAAGTAGCAGAGGGACAACAGTGTCTCACCTGTGTGTCACTTGAGAGAAATGATACAATTAGATCTCTCACAAACTTCTTCATTGTTCGAAAATCAGGATCAGATACGCTGCCTGAACCATCCAAAAGAAAGGCAAGGTCGACTTGTGTTTCACAGTCTGTCAAAGAAATGGATTCAAAATTAGATTTAGTTTTATGGGGTGATTTTTATATTTTTTCACTCACATAAAAAGCAAAGCAAAAGAATTTTGCACGTCGGTAAAGGCATTATGAATAACACAAAGACAATCTATGTTGTATGCATTTGCTAGTTAATCACTAAATGTACGTATGCTTGTCTATTTAGTGGCATAGCTCAGTCGCTGTTGTCTATGTTAGTTTAACAAGAGAGACAAGAAGATTAACGGATTAAATGAGTTTGGTCCAAAAATGCTTATCAGGGTTTTACCAAAGTTAATGTATAAGATCTCCAACCACAATTATTCTTAGTCTCATTGTTTACATTTATTTTTATTTCTTTAAGAAAATACAGAAAAGCTTAAATTATTTGAAATCCCAGAAGGTTGATTGTGCTCATGTGGATGCAGTGTTTACGGTGGGTTTCATCACTCATCCAAGTGTCTTTCTCAGTCTCAGGTGACTACAGGATTTTCCAACCTTCTAAACATCCAGATGAACAGAATCAACTCTGTCACTTAGAAGCAAGACAAAACATCTCAGTTTATTACACAAACGTCTTATGAGTTAAAAATATTTGTATAAAATGACTCAAAACAATTAGTACAGACTACTAGACCTGTTCAATCAAGAAATAACTTAAGTAGAACCTGTATGACAAACTGAAGCATGCTAAAGATCTCAAAAAGCAATGCATCATGCCACGATCTAAAGAAACTCAAGAAGA